AATTTATTCATGTTGCATGCATCTTAGACATACTTAGGTGCATCACATTCATCATTTTAGCATACATAATTTTGCAGCTTTCAGAGTCAAGCTTCGACTTCAGGATGAAGGTTACTCGACTTGCAAGCACCTTTAAAGAACGATGGTGTAACTCAGCAGCAAGAAGCTACATCTCAACCGACTTTACATATATACGGATCTCAGAACCAATTTCAGATGGGTTCGAGAACCAATTCAGATCAAATTCAGTTCAGCTCAACTCAACAATGAGCAACATATTTCCAGTTAACACTTTCAAGCCAGATTTCAATTCCACGACGGAAGATATCCGGCTGTCAGAATTTATCAGTAGGTTTTCCCAGACCAGCTTAGGGGAACCACCTGAAGAATCATGACCATTTTTGACCCGTAAAGGGAAGCCATTTTTTAACAAACTATTTGCAGCTTAGCTCAAGGCCAGAAGGGCTATCTGCCCACCAAGACCTTCGAGTTCGACTACACTCAGCTCCAAGGCACATCATTTGCAGCATAACTTAAGTCGAGAAGGGTTATCTGCCAACCAAAGACCTTTGAGTTCGACTACGCTCAGCTCAACGGCACATCATTTGCAGTATAGCTTAAATCGAGAAGGGCTATCTGCCAAAGACCCCCGAGTTCGATTACACTCAGCTTCGAGGGCACATCATTTACAGCATAACTCAAGGCTAGAAGGGTTATCTGTGACCAAAAGACCTTCGAGTTCGACTACGCTCAGCTCCAAGGCACATCATTTGCAGCATAGCTTAAGTCGAGAAGCGCTATCTGCTAAAGACCCTTAAGTTCGATTACACTCAGCTTCAAGGGCATATCATTTACAGCATAACTCAAGGCTAGAAGGGTTATCTGTTACCAAAGACCTTTGAGTTCGACTACGCTCAGCTCCAAGGCACATCATTTGCAGAATAGCTTAAGTCGAGAAGGGCTATCTGCCAAAGACCCTCGAGTTCGACTACGTTCAGCTTCGAAGGCACATCATTTGCAGAATAGCTTAAGTCGAGAAGGGCTATCTGCCAAAGACCCTCGAGTTCGACTACGTTCAGCTTCGAAGGCACATCATTTGCAGTATAACTTAAGTCAAGAAGGGTTATCTGCCAACTAAAGACCCTTAAGTTCGATTACACTCAGCTTCAAGGGCATAACATTTACAGCATAACTCAAGGCTAGAAGGGTTATCTGTTAGCAAAGACCTTTGAGTTCGACTACGCTCAGCTCCAAGGCACATCATTTGCAGCATAGCTTAAGTTGAGAAGGGCTATCTGCCAAAAACCCCCGAGTTCGATTACACTCAGCTTCGAGGGCACATCATTTGCAGCATAACTTAAATCGAGAAGGGTTATCTGCCAACAAAAGACCTTTGAGTTCGACTACGCTCAGCTCCAAGGCACATCATTTGCAGCATAGCTTAAGTCAAGAAGGGTTATCTGCCAACAAAAGACCTTTGAGTTCGACTACGCTCAGCTCCAAGGCATATCATTTGTAGCACAACTTAAGTCAAGGGCTATTTGTCAATAAAATTATCGAGTTCGACTCTATTCAGCTCGATGATACTTCAATCACACTACTGTCCGGCTGTAATCAAGGTTTTCAAGTCGAAAAGAAGATCTGGTTAACCGTGCCTTAGTGACAGGAAACTGTTTTTCGGCATCATAGCTTAAGTCGAGAAAAGCTATATGTCAACGAAGACCTTTCGAGTTCAGGTTTCATTCAGCTCGAGGGCCTATCAAACACATGGTAGAGTCAAGGAACTACTTTCCAGTCGAATTTTAACCAATGACTTTAAACTGAAAAGAAGACCGAAGTTGACTACAATTCGGCAGCGAGAAGCCACGTTCACATTCCAATTCTGAATTGCAGCTTCAATTACATATCATTTCAAGATGGACTCGACTTCGCGACGAATGAGCCATCCGCAACTCAATTCAACAAGGAGTCATTCAACTCCACCGAACAAAAATTTGTGTCTTTTTATCTTTGTCCTATTTTTCGTTCCACGAAAAAGGACAAAGAGGGGCAGCTGTAGACACTCATTTTCGTCCATATTTATTTTTATTTTATTTTTAGTCATTTTTATTATATTTTATTTAGAATATATATATATATATATATATATATATATATATATATATATATATATATATATGTATATATTATATAATTTTGAAAAACATTTTTGAAAACATATATATTATATAGTTTTTAAAACATTTTGAAAACATATATATTATATAGTTTTTAAAACATTTTGAAAAAATATATATTATATAGTTTTTAAAACATTTTGAAAACATATATATGTTATATAATTTTTAAAACGTTTTTGAAAATATAAATATAATATATGGTTTTTAAAACAATTTTTTGAATATATATATAATATATAGTTTTAAAAATTATTTTTTTAACATATATATTATATAGTTAAAAATTTTTCATTGTATTTATTATTATTATTATTATTATTTCTTTTTTATATATATATTTATTACTTATTATTATTATTTTTTTGTTCTTTTTCTCGTTTAGGTCCAGGGTCCAATCCAACATGTCCAAAGCGTTCGGGTCCAGCATCAGCTAGGCGGGCCTGAGCCAGCCCAAGACCATTAGGGTTTGAAAAACCCTAACATAACCAGTCAATAGGTCAACGGCGCCGCAAGGGAGTAAACCAACGGCCAGCGCGTTTTCCGGCCGCACCAACGGGACTGAACCATCCCGAGGCGACCGGTGTAACATGCACGGAGATCTCGGTCAACATACAATGCGATCCCGAGATCGTCGGGACTCACAAACGGCCGGTGGGGGTTATAAAAACCCACGACCAACACAGTACAAAGGGGGGATCACAGAACACAGGAACAAAACACGAGAATCATCAACAACCGAGAGCAAAACAGTGAGTCCACAACCATAAACACAAACAACATCAACCAACAGAGCCATAAAAAAACCGAAGCGAAGTACAACAGAAATATCAAAGCAAAACACAAAGCATAACATTCACCAACAAAAAACGACAAAGGCCGAAGCCTTTCTCTCGTCCATAAGAGCGAAGAGCGGCACCGGAGAGGACGGAACCACTGGAAGACGAACCATACGACGGAAGAGGGGTAAAAATAGAAACCTTATTTTTTAGATCTACGTCGGAAAAAGCAATTTTAGGCGGTTTTGGGTTCGGATCCGGGCTCTCGTGGGTGAGGAGAGCGCTTTGGGTGTTTTAGGTTTGCTCGGCCACCGTCGGCCACCGTCGGCGATAGCCGGCACGGTGGCCGGAAATCGCCAAGGGAGAGGAGGCGATGGCGTTCTCTGGTTGAGAGAAATGAGAGCTTGGAGAGAATTGTGAAATTGAAGGGGAGAAGAGTGATTTCGGGTATTTATATACCGAGGACTAATGTGCAATTACAGGATTTTTAAATCTTCTCCGCCATCCCTCGAACTTTGAATCATTTTACAATCTGGTCACTGTATGCAATTTGGCCTCTGGATTTTCGATTTATTCAATTCAGTCCCTACTTATATTTTATATGTTTTCTGAATTGGCACCTATCTTTTTATTTCTTCTTTTGTAGTTCATTCTAATACCAATCTAATCCATTAATTTCAATCGATCTCAATTTGACCCTCTAGGTTTTATTTCGTCATTATTATTATTTTTTATTGATTTCAAATTTTAATTTTTTTTCCCTTATTCATTTGCTATTTTCTTTTTAAATCATCGTTTTTTTATTTTTAAATCTAATTTCTATTTATCATTTTTTTACTTATTGTTTTTTCCTTATTTAATTTTTTTTTTCCTCTCTCTTTTTCTTTTGTTTTCATTTTGATTTTTTTTATATTATTTGATTTATTTATTTTTTTTCTCTCTCTCTAACATTTTTTATCTTCTTCAGAGAAATTTTAATCGGTCAAAGGTAAGTAACAAGAATCGGATTTTCAAATTTAAATTTAAATTTTTCAATTTTTCGCAATTAAAGACAACCGGCAAATTAATCGGTACCGAAAGGGTGGTTCAAGGGTGCTAATCCTTCCTTGACCGTAACCGACTCCCGAACTCGATACGTTTCTGGTACAACGCAGATCAGGTAAGATGGTGCCCGACCCACCTAAATTCGATTTAAAGTGGTCGGTGGCGACTCCAACCCAATTAATCTAAGTCGAAGCCCAATTCCGGGGCCCAACCGAAAGACGGGTACGACAATACGAAAATATAATCGTTTGGTAAATTTAAAATTAAAATAAAATTATTTAAGTTTGTTAGAATTGAAATAAAAAAATACTTCTATACAAATTGAATCTTAATTATTTATTTAAATTTATCTTATAATTATATTTTTTTATAAAATTAATAAATTTTACATAACATGTATCCTTATATTATATTATACATATATATGAAGGGAGGAAATTGTGATTCCACAATTTGTGTTGTGGTACGTTCAAAAAATATTATGATTGTGTTTGTTGGTAATATTTTATTTAATTATTGAGGATATGCTAATGGACAGATTGAAGCATATGGTCCATAGTCATAACTCATAAGCACTAACCCAAAAAAAAAAGTGATTAATAACTTTGGATACCTTTAAAATCTGGCATATTAATATAGAAATTAATTTTATAAAAAGTGATGAACGTCTTCGGATACCATTAAACTTAATAGAAAATGTAATAACATCAAATATTCGACGAGGAAATTTATCATTCTTATGTGAGAATTATATTTGTTATAGTTTTTAAATGAGTGGAATTAATAGAATTTACAAGTGTTGAGGACCAAATACACATGTGCATGGGTCAATTTGATAAAATCTGACAATGTGAGAGCTAAATTTGTTAAACTATTTAGAATTTGTACCAAGTTGATAAAATTTATGAGTGTTAAAGACTAAATGCATAATTATACCAATTGAGAAATGAACTTCAATTATCAGTTTAACGACTAGTGACAAAATTGAAACACACCAAACTGAACACCCAATAGTTTGGTTATTAATGGGGTAGCTTACCCTAATTAAAATGGAAAAACCATTCATACAGGGCATCAAGAGTGCAAATCTTAATCCAAATTCCATGCATAATTTCAGTAGGAAAAACATTAAGCCGACCCGAAAACAAATCCAAGCATAGCAACAAAACTGTTGAAAGCACAGAAAACATCATTCGATCGCTTAGATAATTCCGATCTTGTTTGCGACATCCAAGGCATCATAATCTGGAGTCAACCTAACATATGCCTTCTTTGTTCCATCAGGCCTGCATAATGGTCGTACGAGTTCAATAGCAAAGTAAATGTTTGGTTTCACATAACAATTGATCAAGGTATAACAGAATTTTACCTGATCAAAGTATTCACTTTCTTTGTCTGAATGTCGTGCATCTTCTTCACGGCATCTTTAATCTTCTTCTTGTCAGCACGGATGTCAACAATGAAAACCAAGGTGTTGTTGTCCTCAATTTTCTTCATTGCGGACTCGGTAGTCAGAGGATACTTGAGGATCTGATACTGATCCAACTTATTTCTCGGTGGAGCACTGATGCGGGGATATTTAGGGTTCTTATCCTTTTTCAAAGTCCTTGGCCGATGAAATGTAACTTTCGTCCTGATCTTCTTAGGCTTAGCCTTCTTAAATGTCACACCGGATTTCACAGCCTTAGCAGCCTTCACTGCTTGAGCCTTTGGATCGGCCTTTTTCTTGCTGTTGTCAACTGCCAAAGGTTAAAAACAATTAATAGAAAATCGCACCACAATAATAACAGTACAATCCAACGAATTGCTCGAACAACAAAACTCTACGGCCACAATTGATGCATGATGTTTACATATGAGCTATATGAAAAGAACTTAGCATGGATATCGGTAGCAAACCTAATTACATAAGACAGATGGGAAACGGTTCGATCAACTAAAATCCGAACATAAAGATTGCAAAGGCCGATTCAGGTTTACCATTCCTACACCTTCGAGAATATTAAACCACCAGACCACTGTGTAAGAACACAACAGATTACAAACTGGTAAGTTACAAACAGTAAACGATCCTTTAATGCATAACTTTAAAGGGTAAAAACAACACAGTATCACATAAGACGGATCGAAAACTGTTCAATCAACTAAAATCCAAACATATAGATTGGAAAAGCTGATTCAGGTCGGCCATGCCCACACCTCTGAGCATATTAAATCACCAGACGGCAGTGTAAGAACAACACGACCACTGAACTCAACACAAGAATTGCACTTTATCCAACTAAAACAACCACCCTTAATCAACGTTCTCAACAGTAACCCATGTCCATACCACAGCAAAATACTAATCAAAGAACACGAAAAGATGGGGAAATCCAATCGGTTCACATAATCAGCCTTAAAAGGTATCATCCTCAACTTAGGTTCGAACCCTAACATTTTCGAACGAACTTTACAATCTATTATAAAAGAATTACATTAAAAAACTGGAAAAGCCTTACCTTTAGCTGGAGACATTGCTGAAGTTCGTGCTTCGATAGCCTGGGAATGAAAGTTGAAAATGGGAAAAAATATTTTTAAAAAATTCAGATATCCGAATTAATGAATCAAAAGACAATCTGTAAACATAATTTAAAGAAATTCGGATACCTCTTTTTCAGCTGCGGCTGCTGGAGAGTTTAGGGTTTTCTTTCCCAGTTGATAATTGAGAATGGCGGCTTTATAATTTAGTAAAATTTTCCCAAAATTATTTATCAAAATAATACTTAAAAGATTATTTACGAAAATGAGACTTATTTGTATCACGTGGGATAAATGTGTGTCTAGTCACTCGTACCTTTTAGAATGCATGTTTAATTATGCACGTATTTATCTTACTTGTCACAAATAGTGAAAGATGTGTTAAGCAAAACACGTATTTTAAAGATTTTCTTCACTTCTATGTGATTTTCTATGTTCAAGTGAATTAGGGCTTTTGGATTAACCTTAAGTGTTTTGGCAAGTTTTATATTAGAATTCGCGACATTGTGATGTAAGAGCTAGCATAATTCATACAAAATTCATTAGTGATTTTATGAAAAGCAACATCTTCGTGTTCAAAATTTATTAGTGATCATTGTCAACTTACATAAGATTTACACATTGTTTAGTGGTCTTAGAGAGGCAAATGGATAGTATTAGGTCATATTTTCGTGCTCAAAATAGGGCATATCTAGGTTTGAATATCGGTACTTCGTGTAGCCTAAAATCAAGGTGTTTTGACTAAGAGTATCGATACCAACTCATCAGGTATCGATATTGTTCCAAGAGTATCGATACTCAAGAGGGTATCAATATCACTTTTAGATTTTGAATTACAGTAGTCTATTTTAGTATCAATACTCCCTAAGAATTTTACTCTAAATTTAAAAAAAACGACGACCTATAATTAAAATGTTCATTTTGTAATTTTTAATTATTGAGGAACTTAATAAAATAATGTCTTATAGCCGGGACCATTAATGTGCTTCACCCTAAATATAGAAAAGAAATTTACATTACATTCAATTGAGTAATCTAAAATAAATATTCAGAAATTGTATTGTATTTTATTGATATCAAAGTCGTGGACCCTCTCTGTTTATCACAATGGAGAAAAACAGAGAATACATTGTTTATTTTCATGATTATTTTATTCATCGATCATCGTGAAAAATCAATGTCTGATCAGTTCATCATCCACAATCCGTTACGATCGACGTAGGAAAAGCATTCTTTGCGGCATCGATTGGCGCATCTAAATATCCATATCGGATCGCAGCCGAACATGCAAGAAAAGTAGCATCCTATATTTGACTTCGCACTTGCAGGCTCTGCGGCAAACAAAAGCACCAGTAGCAGCACCGCCATTGCAACCGTCGAGTTGTAGTATATATATATATAATGTAGTGTAACTGACAAATTATCATACATGGAATGAGTGGATTTTCTTATCATTGAAAACAAAAAGAATAAATTTCGTAATTAATGTGTATATCTTTATGCGACAGTTACATTAAAAAAAATACATGGAATATTTGTGTTCAGAGTAGCGGTATTGACCTTACATTATCGTTTCAGTTTTAATTCATTACCAAATAGTTTTAAGAGTAAATTACATTATTCGTCATTTTTTTGACAAATGGAGGGCTGGTAATTATATTGCAAAACAGCTGTGAAATATAAAATCACAGCACCCAAAAAAATGTGACAAAGCAATAAACGAAAAGGTTTAGAAAAAACGAAAGAAAACCAAACGACAAAATCGGCCATCCCATCCTTTGCTGAAGAGAGATAGAAGAGCACAGTGAACGACCATGCAAAGGAGTGCAGACGAACATCGAACCTTCAAGAGCCAAGCCGAACCCACATCCTCTCTAGGGAGGGTCGGACCACCACTTATCCTCCTGAGCTTGGAGCAACACACGCGAATGAGCTTCCTCCACCCAGAATCTGTCCTCATCGCCGATCATAGCGTCAGCAGCATGGAGGTGAGTTGTTTTATTGGATTCCCTTGGAGTAGTTTGGAAAACCCACTCCAGCAAACCGCGAGCCTTATGTTTTGCCTCCAATGTCAGTAATCCTATGTATGATCGATCGAGAGACGTGGAGGAAATCTTCAAAATCATCGATCGAGCGTCACCTTCAAAAACGCTTGCCTGAAACCCAAATCAACGGCAAATTCGATTGTATGGATGGCAGCCCAAGCTTCTGCCTCAAAAGCTGAGGTAACTCCTCCCATTTTCCTTCTACAAGCACCAAGAACAAAACCCGACCCATCTCTTATCACCACTACTGACCAAGAAACATTTTGTGGTTGCATGTACCTCGCATCAAAATTGTTAAAAGTTTCAAAGTTTGGCAATCAATTTTGGAAAAAGTTTTTTCAAAGTTTTGTAAATGTTTCTTTAAAAAATGTTTTTCAAAGTTTGGTAAAATTTTAGTAGATGTTTGTTGAAAATAGGAATGGGTAAATTCACTTTAGTCATTGCACTTTAGGGTATTTTCAAAGATTAGTCCCTAAGTTTCTACTATAAATATCCTTACTCATTTAGCTTCAAAATCATCTCAAAAATTATTTCTTTCTCCCAATACTAGAGAGTTTTCTTGTGAGTAGTGAGTGTTTTGTAAACACCTGTAAATTTTCTCTTTTAGTAAAAGATCTGCAGCAGTCCGGAGACGTAAGCACAATTGGCTGAACTCCGTTATCAATTTCGGGTATCATTTTTCCGCTTTTATTTTGCATTCTCACTAATCTAGTTATAGGGAAATTACTTGTACTTGGTTTATTTCCCAACAACTGGTAATCAGAGCTTTTGGGTTGTGAATTTTGTCAATTTTTTGCGAGGTTACTATTCAGGTTACTATTCATGTGAATAGTGAATTTCGTGAATAGTGAATTCGGTCGGCGATACGAGTTTGTCGACGGAGGTGTTCTAATACACGGCGGTTCGCAAAAATTGTCAGAAACGATCCAAACGAAGCCAGATTCGAGTGGGAGCGATGGCTGCAGACGAAGGGAAGGTGAAAATTGAAAAGTTCGATGGTGCGGACTTTGGATTTTGGAAGATGCAAATTGAAGATTTTCTATACCAGAAAAATCTATATCAACCCCTCTCAGGAAAACAACTAGAGGGCATGAAGAATGAAGACTGGGCTCTTCTCGACAGACAAGCCCTCGGAGTTATCCGATTAACGTTATCCCGCAATGTTGCTTTCAACATAGCAAAGGAAAAGACCACAGCGGGTCTTATGACGGCTCTCTCCAGTATGTATGAGAAGCCAACGGCCTCAAACAAAGTTCATTTGATGAGGATATTATTCAATTTGCGGATGACGGAAGGGGTATCGGTGGCACAACACCTAAATGAACTCAACACAATCACAACCCAGTTGAGTTCAGTGGAAATTGAATTTGATGATGAAGTTCGAGCTTTAATTCTCTTATCATCTTTACCAGACAGTTGGAATGCTACTGTTACAGCAGTCAGCAGTTCGTCGGGAAACAGCAAATTAAAATTCTACGATGTTCGAGATCTGGTACTGACCGAAGAAACTCGACGAAGAGAATCGGGTGAAGCATCAACCTCCTCAGCCTTGCACACGGAGTCTAGAGGGAGAACTTCAGAAAGAAATTCAAATCGTGGCAGATTAAAATCCAGAAGGGACAAATCAAGAACAGGAAATAAAGATTTTACCTGTTATAATTGCGACAAGAAGGGTCACTTCAAAAGAGATTGCCGAGCACCGAAGAAAAATACCGGCGCACAGGAATCTGCCAACATGACGGAGGAGACGGGTGATGCCATGATTTTAAGCGTCAACAGCCCGATTGAATCATGGATCTTGGATTCAGGGGCATCTTTCCACTCCACCCCATGCCGAGAAATCGTGGAGAACTATATCAGTGGTGATTTTGGGAATGTTCATCTAGCTGATGATGAAACCTTGAAGATCGTCGGAAAAGGAGACATCCGACTAAAGCTGCCAAACCAGACCACCTGGAAGCTGACAGGAGTGAGACATATTCCTGGCCTCAAAAGAAATCTGATTTCTGTTGGACAGCTTAATGGAAAAGGATATAGTACAATTTTTTCAGGCTGTGAATGGAAGATTACCAAAGGAGCACTCGTCATTGCTCGTGGTAAGAAGACCGATACTCTCTATGTAACCTCAAATTTAGAGAATATCATTGCAGTAGCAGATGCTGATGGAAAATCAAACCTATGGCATCAAAGGCTCGGCCATATGAGCGAGAAAGGAATGAAGATACTTCTGTCAAAAGGGAAGTTACCGGATCTAAAGAATGTAGATGTCGGACTATGCGAGGATTGCATCTTTGGAAAACAAAAGAAAGTCAGTTTTACAAAGATTGGCAAGACTCCCAAGGCAGAAAGGTTAGAATTGGTTCATACTGATGTATGGGGACCATCCCCTGTTCCATCTCTTGCAGGCTCACTATATTATGTCACCTTCATCGATGATTCAACAAGGAAGGTGTGAGTTTATTTTCTGAAGAAGAAATCAGAAGTCTTTGATACCTTCAGAAAATGGAAGACCGTGGTGGAAAATGAGACTGGTTTGAAAGTCAAGTGGTTGAGGTCTGACAATGGAGGAGAGTACAGAGATAGTAGTTTTAGAGATTTCTGCGCAAACAATGAGATCAAGATGGAGACAACAGTTCCCATAACACTGCAGCAGAATGGCGTAGCAGAGCGCATGAACAGAACTCTGAATGAACGTGCTAGAAGCATGAAGATACATGCCGGATTGCCCAAATTTCTATGGGCTGAAGCTATCAACACTGCAGCTTACCTGATCAACCGTGGGCCCTCAGTTCCTTTGGATGGCAAAATACCAGAGGAAGCTTGGAGCAAGAAACAAATAAACCTTTCACACTTAAGAGTGTTTGGTTGTATTTCTTATGTACACATAAACTCTGCTGAAAGAAGTAAACTTGATGCCAAGTCCAACAAATGCGTCTTTGTTGGTTACGATGGTGATGAGTTCGTTTACCAGTTTTGGGACTACGAAAATTGAAAGATCATCAGAAGCAGAGACGTCATTTTCAATGAAAATGTGATGTACAAAGATAGGTCAACCGCAAAATCAAGTAATACCGAAGCTGAAACAAAGGAATTTGCTGAGTTCGAGGAGATTTCTGGAAATGATGTTCAGATCAATCCTGAAGCAGTTTAAGAAGAACCACACA